ATTATTGCTAACAAAAATGACTAGTAAAAGATATAATGACACTATTGATAACTACAGCAACGACAAAAACACCAATGATAATGATAAAAATGATAGTAATGATAATAACAATGATAAGGATAATTGTATTGATGAAAATAATAGTAAAATAATAACATTAATAATATTGTAATGATGATGATGTAGTAGTAATGATGATAATTAGATCAATAATGATAATGATACTAATAACAATGATAATGATAAAAATAATCATTATTAATATATTGATAATATGAAAATGATAATAATATTGATAGCAATGATGATAACAATATAATTATAATGATAATGATTATAAGAGTAATGATGATAATAACAACAATAATGGTGATAATACTAATGATAATACTAATAACAATAATAATGATAATAATAATAATAATAATAACAATAATGATAATGATAATAATGACAATGATGATAACAATAATACATTAACAGTAATAATAGAATAGTAAAAATAATAACGATAATTGTAATCATAACATACCAATAACAATAGTAATAATGGTAATAACAACAACGATAATAATATCAATAATGATAATGATAATGATAATAATGATAATAATAATAATAATAATAATAATAATAATAATAATAATAATAGTAATAATAATAAAAATATTAATAACAATAATAATGATAATAAATATAATAATGATAATAATAATGATGATACTACTACTACTAATAATAATAACAATGATAATATAATTAATGATAATAATAACAAACCTGATGATGATATTAGTAATAATAAAACAACAACAACAATATTAAAGATAAAAACGATTATGATAATAAGAAAGAAAATGCTAATGAGGATAATAATAATGATAATGATAATGATAATAATATTGATACTAATAAAGATAATGATAATTACAATGATAATGACAATTACAAAGATAATGATAATAATATTAATGATAATGATAATGATAATAATAGTAATAATAACAATAGTAATAATAAAGATGATAATGATCATAATGATAAAATGATAATGGTTATAAGGAAAATAAAAATTAAAGTAATGATGATAACAACAACAACAACATTAAGGATAATAATAATAATGATGATGATGATAATCACAATAGTAATATAATAGAGATAATAACAATAACAAAAACAACAATGATAATGATAATAATAGTAATGATAACAATAACAATAATAATGATGATAATAGTAATAATGATAATGATGATAATGTTACTAATAATGACAATGATAATAACATTAATGATAGTAGTAATGATAATATTAATGATGATAATAATGATAATATCAATGATAGTGATAATGATGCTAATAACAATAATGAAATAAAAATCATCATCATAATAATAACAATACAAATTATTATATTGTTAATGATAATAATAGTAATGGCAATAATAATGATAATAAATGATAATAATGATGATAATAAGAATAATGATAATAATGATAACGGTCATAATGATGATAATATTAAAAGTGATAATAAAAATAATAATGATAATAATAACAACAACAGGAACAACAACAACAATAATAATAATAGTAATAATGATAATAATAATGATAGTGATACAAATGATGATAATGACGATGATAGTAATAATGAATATATAATGTTCATAATAACAATAATAATAATAATGATAATAATAATAATAATAACAATAATAATAATAATAATAATAATAATAATAATAATAATAATAATAATAATAATATAATAATAATGAATAATATAATATAATGATAATAATAATGATGATGATAGTAGTATTGATATAATTAATAATAATAATAATAATAATAATAATAATAATAATAATAATAATAATAATAATAATAATAATAATAATGATAATAATAAAGTTATAATAATAATGATAATAACAATAATAGTAAAAGAAATAATGATAATAGGAATATCAATAATGACAATGATGATAATAGTAATGATAACAATAATAATAGCGATAATAATAATAATATCAATAATATAATGATAATGATAATGATAATGATAACAAACAAAAATTATATTGATAATGATAATAGATTGTGAGAGTAAGAATATTGATAATGAGAATTATAATTATGCTCTCTCATTCTTTTTCTTCTTCCTTTTATTTTCTTCTTCCTCTCTTCCATTATCTTTGTTATTATTACTATTATCATTCTTATGTTATTATTGGTGTTACTGTTGTCATTATTATTATAATTATAATTGTCATTATTGTTATTATCATTATTATCATCCCGCTTCATCATTATCATTATTACTATCATCATTATTGTAATTTTATCTTATATATTACCACTATCATTAATGTCATCATTATTATCACTGTTGGCATTACTATCTATTATCATTATCGTTATTATGATTATCATCATCACCATTACCAGCGATACCATATTTTTCATCAATATCATTATCTCCTTTCCAATT